AGAGAGAGAGAGAGAGAGAGAGAGAGAGAGAGAGAGAGAGAGAGAGAGAGAGAGCACTCATGCACACCTTAGTGGTCGCTTCCTGCTTTGGCTGACAGAAGTCTCAAAGATCCTCCTGCATATCAAATTTCATTTTAACCTCCAAAGGGGATTCATATTCACATGTATACATTCAGTGAAATTTCTGGACAAAAGCATCAGTTAGTTCTAATGGTTCTTGCTAGTTTCATTCAAATTTAATCAAAGTCTAAGACAGTATTCTACAATATCTGTAACTTGATAAAACACACAGGCTACCCAAGATCAAGACTAATTTTCTGCATTTGCACCACCTTAGTAGATAGTGAAGACATTAGCTATGTATTTATTGGATGACTCAGGGTCAAGCTGTTCTGTGTAGAATTTAGCACAATCCAGCTGAGGCATGATGACATTCACTTTCAGGTAAAAATTCCAGGTCATTAAGCATTAGACAGAGAGAGAGAGAGAAAGAAAGAGAGGAAAGGAGAAAGAGAGAGAGAGAGAGAGAGAGAGAGAGAGAGAGATAGAGAGAGAGATAGAGAGAAGAAGAAGAAGAAGAAGAAGAAGAAGAAGAAGAAGAGGAGGAGGAGGAGGAAGAGGAGGAGGAGGAAGAGGAGGAGGAGGAGAAGGAGGAGGAGGAAGAAGAGGAGGAGGAGGAGGAGGAAGAAGAAGAATCCTGAATCTAGAGGAGCTGAAATCTTAATTTAGTTTCTCAAGGCTGTGCAACATTAAAGAGAACCTTGTTGCTTGGCCTCAGAATTCTGTCTCTGATACAAAGTAATTTTTAGTACATACTAAGTATTTTTTCTTCTTAGGCTATAATTCTAAATTTAACTGACTACAAAGAGAAAGTTTTATTTTGTACATGTTATAGTTATACACTAGGTCATCTGCTTTAATAATTTTACAGTCTCAGCTGAAATTAAGCCAATTAAGATATCTTGGGTCTAGTCAAAAGGAGAGAGATGTCTTTGTGAAAAAAATATTCTTTTTCTTTGATGGAGTGCCACCAATAAGTGGTTTGTTCTTTCTTCTAGGTCTAATGGCCTTACAAAAGCCCAATGCTACTACCTTAATGCACTCATTTTGCTGCAGTGGCTAGAACAACTGCATCCTCAGAGTGCATCCCATGGAACAACTGGCATCTTTTTCAAAGTGTATCTTCATAGGTATTTGTCCTAAAAAGGCTTGTTTGTCCTGGATAAGCATTACTATGATACCACTCTTTTGAAAATTATAGTGTCCTAGTTTTTGCAATAAGACTACTTGTTTTTATTATGGCAGCCTGTCTCCAATGTGATTGATGCTCATCAATTTCTTTAAAGTTGCCCATATACATACGGCATCCCACCCTTTAAAACAGCCTATGCTTAATTTCTCCTTTTACTGTATGTTGACCTGTGGCTACTTTAGCCAATAGAACACTGAGAAAGTGGCAACAGGAACTCCTGACCATATCATCTGAAACCTTTCAGTTTTGTTTGAGTCTGTTGGAATGCTTGCTTTGGGGGAGTGAAACAGCTGCATGTCAGTTAGTCTGACTGTTCTGAGGCAATGAGCTATATGGGAAGTCCAAGACAGCCATGTTTAAAAGCCTCATGGAAACACAGTTGACTGCTCTAGCTATTCCCTTTAAAATACCAGTGAGGAAATCCTTAATGCTCTAGTCTGTGCTGCACTCTCCCTGAAAGTCTATGAGTGCTCAGGAAAGAAGAGCTATGCTCAGCTTGTAATTGACAGCATGAAAGATAAGAATAAAACTGTTACTTTAGTTCTTTTAATTTGGGGGTAATTTTTTGTGTCACACTGTATAATTTTAAAAATATACTAAGCTCAGAATATCTTAGAAGATAGAACTTTTCCTTATATAGCTGACACATTCACGGTTATATTTGAGAATACAGATTAACACCCTCCCCATAGTTCACTCTATATTGTATGCTGGCTAAAAGCTTGGTAGAACATCCAATTCCAGAGTTCCTTCAATGTAGACCCACGAGGCAAAAGGTCCATCAGGTCTGAATTCATATGTATTAGAAGAAGAAATTCACATTAGGTTCTGTACCTAAAAGTTCAGATTGTCCTTAACTGAGAATGTTTTTAAAAAATATAACATAGTTCCAAACAATTCACACCAGTGAGCCTCAGGGTTTGGTTATACTCTGATCAGAAAGCATGGCCAGCATATACAAAAATGGAGCTATGTCTTGGAGATAGACTCAGGCAGAAAATAGAAAGTGATAGGTCTTGTGTGCAGATACCACTTGCCAGCTGTTGGACAAGCTGCGTGCCCACGGTCAACAAACTTCTGCAATTTAAGCAGAATTTCCCACTTTCTGTGAATGCAGGTGGGACACGCAAACATTGTAGGGCTGACCAGAAGTCTGATAGACTGCAGGTAAAGGATAGTCATTAGGGATTTTTACTATGGCAGTAAATTCATTGCTGTTCACATTTCCCCTGATGTCTACTTGACAGCAACTGCCCTCTAGATAGAGATGGCCATTGAGATGGCACTGCCACACCTCTTTGAAATATTAGAGAAGTCAGTGAATGTGATGACAGATGTTTGTAAGTCTAATGGAAGTTTGTCCAAAGGAATGTTACAGATTCTGGGAGAGAGAACTCTCAGATGTTACTTAACTATAATAGAATTGCTCCATAAATTGTTAGAGAGTAGAAAGGCATTTAAAAAACAAAATTCTATTTGCATTCAGTATTTGGTCATTTGTACATGATGTCAAATAATTGCTATAACACTTGGAATGCACGTCTGTGGTAATTAGATTGTTTTCTAAAGTCTCTCTCTCAGATATGCAACAGCAGTGTCATATTGATTTTAGAAACTTCACAGGATAAGCTCAACGAAGAGGCTAGATGTAAGTGAACGACGACCCACATAATACTGAGACACTAAAGAAGCATTGTAGAAGGCATTTATAGTAGACTCTGAGAGGCAGCAGCAGCCCTCAGACAGAAGAGTGGCATCAGGCCAGAATCAGCTTGCCAGCAGGCGTTTGTAAATTATAAAGAGTTCCTACTGAAACAGTATTGTAAAGGAGGCTAGCTTTCCTGGGTGGGCTTCAGAAGACTCCCTCAGTATTTCACAAAGGTACATAGTGGTATTAACAATCCTAACAGGAGGAACAACAAGAAGAAGAGAAAAGAAGATTAGAGGCTGCCTCCTTTCTGGTTACTTCTCTGGAAGTTTTGAAAATCAGAGCCAGTGGGGAAAAGCTGGAAGAAGCTGAGGAGGACAGCGACCCTGTAGGAGGACCAGTAGTCTCAACTAAACTGAACCCCCAGGATCTCTCAGACACTGAGACACTAACCAGGCAGCATACACCAGCTATTATGAGGCCCCCCCAACACATGTACAGCAGAGGACTACAGGGTCTGGACTCAATTAGAGAAGATGCTCCTAACCCTCGAGAAACTTGGAGCCCAAGGGAGTGGAGAGGTCTGGTGGAGTGAGGGTGGGTGGGGACATCCACTTGAAGATTCGTGGAGGAGGTGTGGGGTGTGGACCAGGAGAGGGATAAAGTTGGACTGTAAGAAAAGATTAAAGAATACATTTAAATTTTCTTTGAGGTTTTCATACATCAGCATCTCCATCATTTCTGTCCTTCTGTCACCTCAGAATACTTCCATATCTTGCTCCCAAATTCATGATCTCTTTTTGGTAAAGATACTTTGAAAACTTCTTTAGACACAGGGATTTCACACGGTGCTGTGGTTATCAAATGACTGTCTCTACTGAGTAAAATACTTCATCTGTGGTTTGAATAGCATATTCAATCAGACCAGCATTTATGATCCCTCCACTGGAATGCTGAACACTGTGCTAAGTGGTGCAGAGAAATTCTGGCTTCTTTGGATTTGTTGGGCTTGTAAAAATGTTAAGTGTGGGGGTGGGCATTCTGATAAAGTTATTAGCTTTTTTATTCATCAAGAATTTACACAGCAAATAGTTGTGACCTCTCCCCTTTCCTGAGCCCTCTATAAACATTACATTGACTGCCCTGGTACTACTGCTGTACTGTGACAAAATTAATATAAAACATTTCACCATTTGTCTTGTCTCCTTTTCCTGCTATTCAGCTTAATTCCTAGTTGAACAATGACAAAAGATGATATTCTTCTCCAGACAATTACGAATTGCTTTACAGAAGTGACTTAGATTAACTGATCATTGCATAGCAATTGCATATTTCTTACTTCTACAGTTATCTGTTAGGGATCCATAATCACCATCAACATAGATTTACAACTTTTAAAAGAAGTTTTAATATCTATTACAGAGGTTTGCAAACCAAGCCAAAATAATAATAATAAAAAAATCCTTCTCATAAAATCCTTTTTTCAAATGAAATCTTACTCAGGAATATCTAAAATAGATCATAGTGAGAGATACTGATTAAAGCTGGCTTCTCAATTTTATGAATTCTTCTCCCACACCACACCACAGTTCAAGGTACCTACATGATTGCAGGGACCACGGGCAGTCCTGAATTGCTACTGATCTAACAGAGTCAGAGACTTGCAGAATTCCTAAGTCAGGGGTGTCCTGGAGATTATCATAAATTGTACAAGAGCAGAGGAGGTTTCCTTAGATACCCCCTGGTTCACCTTATTACTTCTGAGATTAAAAAGATAGAGGCCTAGAAAAGTTGCAAAGAACCCTGTGCAGTGGCAAACACATGAGTCAAAAAAAATCACAATTCCTTTAACTAAATCTATGGCTTTTTCGACATCATTGCAAACCCCATGAATATAGGCAAAATAGGTCAGTACCCTTTGAAAAGGAATTTTTAAAGATTTATTTTATTTCATATGTGTGAATGTTTCACCTGTATATTTGTCTGTGCCTTGCAGCATGTATTTTACCCACAGGGATCATGAGAATACACTAGATTCCTTGGACCTCAAGTTACAGATGGTGGTGAGCTGCCCTACGGATTCTGGGAATCAAACCATTTTCACCTGCTGAGCCATCTCTCCAGCACACAAAAGGAATTTTTTAAAGCATAGAAAGTGTCCAATAGGGAAGAGAAAGCAGCTATGAGAAGAAAAGGCATGTCAACATAACCCTCCCTCCCAAGTTCAAATGGGCAGAAAAAAAAAATCACATAATGGTTGAGAGGCTTATGATCTAGCTTGAAGAAAGAACATTCAAGGAGCCTTCATGACTTCTGTGATATTTCCAGAAGACCACTTGCAAGAGATGACAAGACTCCACCTAAATCTTTGTAATTGATAAATGTCATTCAGACACAGGAAGACAAATTGTTGCGACCTGACCACAGAGTTAAAGTTTAGCATGTAGTTTGTCAGTGAAGTTCAAAGAAAAGAAGGTGCCCTTCAGCAAAAGGATCATGCAGCTTAGGCTCGGGAACTCAGTGTTTTTGCAAGTCACAGAGCTAAATTCGGACACAGTTAGCTCAGTCAATCAAATCGGGCATTTACAAAATGAGTCCTGCCAACATGACTTACAGAAACAGAAAAATGACCCCCAGGAGCTCACAGTGCAGGCATCTTTGAAACCACTGTTATCTTTATCCAGCCTTAACTCACCAGTGAGACGCAGATTTAAATTCTCTTTCTTCTCTCTGTCTGAGATTCTTTCTTCCTCCAGGGACTTCAGTGTGTGTGTGTGTGTGTGTGTGTGTGTGTGTGTGTGTGTGTATGTGTGTATGTTTATAACATGAATCAGATATTTCACAGAATGCCATTGAATAGAAATTGGATTCAGATTTTTACTATCATGTAAAACCAGCAAATCTATACCTATGACATTTATCCACTAGCAAGTAGCTCTGAATTAGGAAGCATAACAGAGAAAGATATTGTTCAAATTGTAGCAATTCACTCATTTTTTTCTACTATTTCCTATGATTATGTTGAAAGACATTTTCTAAAATGGAGAAATGAATCAGACTTCTCTGTTTTGGAAAAGATTTCACATGTACATGTTCTGTTCATTGTGGGCACAAAATCATGTTTCTATAGTAGCTGAAATCCTGAAGTCATGTAATTCTGAATCCTAATTTTTTATTCTATTGAACATTGTAAGTATCTGCATATTTGGCAACCTAGCTTCATGACCCATGACGGACTCTGAGGACAAAGTCAATGTTCATGGAGATACAAGTATGTAAAAAGTAGTCATATTTTTCCT